GGTCGCTCTTGTAACAATTTCTCAGTAGAAGTCTTATGTGCAGGCCACTCTTCTCAAAGATAATCTCTTTCTACACCCAAGAAAAGCCTTCTCTCTTTTCTAAAAATATTAAAATTACCTTTAACAGTCTGTCCCATTGGAAGGACAAGCTACATGTGGCTATCAAAACAGCAGTTTTGGCCATCAGATGGGACTACCCAGGAACTATGGCTATCAAAGAAACCATAGGTAGTTTGTACAGCTAGATATCTCAATTGGATTACCATCAGCCTTAGGTCCCATCTTTGTTGTATGTTATGAGATGGTGCCAAAAGAAACTATGAGAAGATTCGATAAATGTAGCTCCAGAGGTCTCACTAAGATTAGTCTCTCTCTAATCTTAATCTCTAATGTCTAATCTCTCTCTAATCTTTAATCACTCTCTAATCTCTAATCAGGGAACTCTCTTACATTTATTGAGGGTTAAAAACAGGCTAAGGAATGTGCGTAACTAATTTAGTATAAACAATCCATTATTTACATCACCTTCTAGCATTTACCAATCTTTAAATCTACATATCATTAATTGGTAATATCCCAGTTAAAGGAACAAAGAACACAAACAGGTGCCTCTAGGAATGTGCTGTTCCCTGTATCCCAGCTTGCTGGGATTGGTGCAGATGACACATTTCTTCAGGCTTTTGTTCTTAGGCTCTGTTCTTTGTTCTTGCTTTCTGGGAACAATAATCTTCTGGCTTATATCGCTAAACATCTTAAAAACTGTATCTGCTCGGGCCCACAGATAGCTCAACGGATTCAAGAGCCTGCTTAGGCAACTCAGGGACCAGAGTTTGATCCCAGCATGCTGTGCTGAGATAGCCACTGAGACCGGGCATGGTGGTGCACACCTGTAATCCCAGTGCGTTGGAGGCTGAAAACAGGAGGATCACTATGAGACTGATCTGTGTAGTGAGAGCCTGTAGATGCTGTACTAAATACATTAAAAAAAATAAAACTATATCTGCTTTCACAGGCATAAAAGGTTTTATTCCTTCTAATCCTTATTACAAAAGTTCTCTGTTAATTGACCCACAAAAAGTTCTAACTTGTCTATGTATAGTTATAAATTTATTTGAACACAACTGTTTCTCTTTTTTGCACTTTTCAAACTTTTGCCTGATATTTATGTCAACTTATAAATAAATGTCACCAAGAACAAAGACATGCTTCCACCCATGTTGTCACCTGGTGAAAATGATACCAAAATTGGTTCTGTGAATATGATGCATATTGTTTTCCTTGTAAAATGTCTCAAGACTCTCACTGGTGAAAATAATGTGCTAATGGTTATGATCTTGTTCTCATAGATTGTCTGAGTTACTCTTCTCTTGTTGCTGGGACGAATACCTGACATGCAAAATGAAGGAAGGAAAGGTTTATTTAATACACAATTAATGGAGGTTTCAGTCCATACTCGGCTGGCTCCAAGGCAGAGTGGCACATGGCAGAGAGCAACCTTTTATGGCAGCAGCAAAGGGCAGAGAGAAAAAGGGAGGCATAGCACCCACAATGCCTACAAAGAGTAAGTTTATCTCCCTTAAATCGCATTCAGGCTATGTGCTCCAGGCTGGTTGTAGAACTCACACCCATAATCCCAGCAGCACTCACACACATAATCTCAGCAGCACTCACACACATAATCCCAATGGATCATGAGTGAATCATAAACTCTGAAAGTCTGCTTCATGACTGCGTGAGACTTGGAGGGGACAACTAGACACAAAACATAACATAGGTCATCAAAAATTGTTAAGATCTTCAAATAGACATGTTTATAGTTGGGGAGTTGTTGGACAAGGATCTGCTTGGTGAATAAAGGAGTAGTTGCCTGTTGTTGTGATATGGCAAACAGCCTGTGGGCTGTTTCAACTGCTGCAATTATAAAATGAAAAGTTGGAAACCAAAAATTTACAATGGCTAATTTCACATACTATGTAATGGATAAAAAGAGGCTTAGAATGATTGGTAATGCACTTTAGAAATTTCCCATTTTTTCATTATGGGTGGACCATTGTCTCCCACAAAGTAAGGCAAAGCCTACATTAAGGCAAAGAGCAAGAGTAAGGCTAAGACTACCAGCACTAGGCTTGCTCCAAGGTAAGATCCTGGCTAGCTCAGAATCACCACCACTGTCTGCATCATCCAACAATTCAGACATAATTTTCTTCCATCAATAATACAGAGGTTATGGTTGCCTTGTGGACTTCTGTTCCACATGAACAACAGGTCATCCCAGACCTCTTGCTCCTTCCTCCCATGGACCTTATCACCTGGCAGGAGATTGGAGCCCACTACAGGGGTCTTCAATAAGACCTTTAAACAACACTTACCATTCTTTCTCTCCATTCCACTATTTACCGAACTCACATTCATCAAAGCTCTGCCTACTATGTCCCCAATTCTGTGTCATTACAAGTAACTTATGATCATTCTTTTTCCCTCTTTTGAATTTCTTATAACGTCATTGTTACTGTTTTGTTTTATGCTTTTCTTTAAATGAATTTTACATGTTTATATCTGGTAATCTGAACAACTAATTTGAAGAAATAATCATGTAAAACAGCAACCATTGTTGAATTCCTATTACTTTGTTTAGTGAAATCTTATACCATTTCTAATGCTGTTTCTTTAATCACTATTTTGTATTCTTTAAAAATAAAAAAGAAAGGCAGGCTAACCAGAGGGAAGTGGTTGAGGGGAGGGGATTCAAGGAGTGTCCATATCAGAATCCCAGGTAGTGGAGCAACCTCGCTTTATTCAAGAAGAGTAGGTATGGAAAGTATTTTTTCTGGCTGGAAGTCTGACCTCAAGAATAGGCATGTGAGGGCCAGGGATATAGCTCAGCAGCATTAGCACCTACCTACAAGCAGAAGATCCTGATTTAGATCCCAAATACAGCAAAACAAACAAGCAAACCAGAATCAGCGTGCATTGCAAGAACTGCTGCTTCTGCTCTTCCTGTATGTGAGGGCCTGTGCTTCTGAGGGAAGGGTCCTCGTCACGTGAACATTCATGTTCAGGTTCATAGAGTGATTGTGTACTACATGTGCCTGCATAGTGTATTTGCAGGTCAGGTTACAGATTTTTCCCTAATGGAACACTAACAAAATGAACAGTAGATTTAATACTTTCCCTGTAAAGAAGCTACAAAATTCCAGAAAATAGACTAAGAGTAAAAAAATATAAGAGTTGATGCTTCTATTTGCAATCCTTTTATGAATAAAAGGACAGTACAATTAGTTTGAGGAGCTACCTTAACTCATTCAAACTGAGATCAATATCTGTGTGTGTGTGTGTGTGTGTGTGTGTGTGTGTGTGTGTGTGTGTAAGTTCATCCAGGTGAATCTTTGGGGAAGTTGACTGTATTTCAGTGATTAAAGACTAAAGTTTTATACAAATTGAGACTAAGATGCCAAATTGGCCTGCAAATGGATGCCATTCATCAAGCCAACTATTTAATGTCCGGACTTTGCCTTTTAAAGAATTTAATTCCCCAGGGTGTCTTGATACATCATCTCACATTTTTATTTGAAGCCATAAAATTCTACCTGCTTGAAAAGGCTTTAGGTAGTAAGGTCAGACACACCCATTCTGGAGTCTCTGCTCACCTTCTCCATCCATCCAGCACCACTCTCCAGCTTTTGCTCAACCCTTGGTGAGTTCTTTCAGGTGGTTCTAATGTACGAACAATAATTCTTATATGAGTTGACTTACAATCACCAGTTTTCACACTTCATTGTAACCAATTATGCCCTCTGTGGAAGACCATCACATGGCCCTTATGCGTACACAAGTGTGACTGTTTTTACTTTCCATTAGTGTAAGATATATGGAGGTGATGTCCCTGAATTTGCTCCCAGTTTAATTAACTAGTCTGGCCAAGGCTAGGCACATATCTTCATGAAAGCAGGTGGGTGACAATGGACTAACATATAGTTTATTATCAATGGCTATGACTGAGCTTAGCTAGTCGAGCTGTGATATCATAGGGCTGAGATATGGGATAGCATCCCTGATGAGGCCTGCATGACTCCACAGTAAAATTCCTTCCCAGAGTTGGATACCAAGCAGGTTACTCAAACCTAAATCAGGCTGTCCTTGTCTCCTTGGCAAGAATGCTTTTCATCATCCGCTGCAAAGCTTGCCAGTGTTGCCACTCATCTCGTCTGGCACACTCATTTGCTATCCCCTCACCATTCTTCCCAGTAAGTAAATAGAAGTATTCTGGATAGCTCCTGACCTTTTTTTTTCCTAGAGAAAAACTGGTGGTCCCAGATGCCTTCTATGCGCTGCTCTACTTTGTCTCTTATTGTTTGTTTCCTGAAAGCCAGGCAGGAGATTGGAACAGTCTCTAATGATACTGTGTGTCAAATGGTTCATTTACGATATTGTAACTCCATCATTTTATTTTTTTTATATTTTAATCTTTATCAAGAGAAAAAAAGTGAGAACAGAGACAAAAGCAAAGCAACATAAAATAATAAAAACATGTAAAATTTTATTTTACTTTCATCTTGTTCTTCAGATTTATCTTTTGGGGGAATGTTATGATCTTCAACACAAACATGCAATAAATAAAAACTTTTATATTATTGGTACAATTGTGTTAACAAGAACATTTTGGACCCCCTCCTCTGGGTCATGGGTTGGCACAGGAAATGGGAGGGTACATGCATGTAACCAGAATATAGGTTAATTGAAGTGGACTTTGTAGCCAAACAGATGGTGAGATAATTTTAGGAAAGAATCAGAGTGAATCTTAACCTAATTCCAGTGATATGATCTAGTGAGGGTGATGGTTCAGAAATGAATATCTGCAGGTAGTGTTGGGACAGTCAGAACGAGGTGGGCTAGGGGTGGTCTGAGCTGCTGATGACCCCCCCAGGGCCCAGTGGCTTCTTAAAATGTTACTATTTTTTAAACTTAAAGATTGATCCTCTGGCTGGGAATTAGCCACCCACATCCCAGAACTGATGTAATCCTTAGGATCTAAATAGAAGTTGGTGTTGCTAGTGAAGCCCCTATTTTGGGTGAGGAAGACAGGTTCACCTGGCACAGAGGAGGTGGCTATGAACCAATCAGGGTAGATGAGAGACTCAAAGGTGGATGTGGAGCCCTCCATACTGTGGACAAAGAGATATGACTCTTGTGGTATTTTCTTCCAGTACAGCTCCATGATGTAGATCTCCTGGATCAGAAAACAGGCTTAATAGTGATGAGGAGGACAAAGCTAGCTGTCCAAACAGGCACGGGCTAGTTTTCAACAGCCTGGCTCCATGCTAAGATCCCATGACACAGGGGCTGCTGATTTTTCTCTGGAAAAGAGGGGAATTTGCCTCTCCTTCTTGGGAGCTTCTGGTACCCATTCATCCTTAGGTTCAGGTAAGCCTCCAAAAGGACTTGTTCATTACACTGTCCACAATTACTTGTAGTGCTACTTGTAGTACTATAAATTTTCAGCTTTGCGCAGTAGCAGTATCCTAGCCAATGAGGTTTATCCGAGGCACGATTATTGCTAAAAGTACTATAAATTTTCCTTGGGCATGTGGATATAAACATGAACTCTGCTAAATTCAGAAGAAAACAGTCTCTCTTCATTTCCCCAACGTGATTGCTTTTATCTAATGAGAGCATCCCTTGTCTTAAAAGAACTTTATTTATTTATTTATTTATTTATTTATTTATTTATTTATGGCCACCTCAGCCCTCCCCGGAGGCAGGGCTGGCGCAGTATGTGGTGCTGGGTATCCAACCACAGTCCCTGTGCGCTTGCCTAAGCTTGCCTAAGCAGGCACTTTAGACCACTGAGATATCTTACCAGTCCCTTAGAGGAGCTTTAGGCAGAAGCTTATTAGGACCAAGAAGCCCCCATTCCTTGGCTTTTCCGAAACCTCTTGGTGGGAGTGATGACCATCCTATAGCACCACTTACTAGCTTGAGGGCTAGAAATGTCAAGTTTTTGTCCTAGTAGTGATAACTCAGGATTATAGAACTATAGCTTCCCTTCTGAAACACATGAAGTGACATTATAAGAGTTCATTTGATGCGACTCTCAGTAGCTGCATATCCACTCACCTCCAGCTGCAAAGTAGGCTTGCCCTCAGTTTCTGTGCAGCGCAAACTAAGATTTTTGTTCTTGATTCCCAAGTATACCCAATTGCCTCTTTCTTTATCACGGAGTTCTGGGCATCTACACGCTATTACTTCAAGAGTGACTATGAACACAAGAATGAATGAAGACGTAAGGGTCCAAGCACAAGGAAGTCAGTACTCTGATCTCATACCCAGTGAGGCTTCTAAACCAAGGGATACTGAGCATCTAGGACATCACCCAGGGGCTTTTCCCAATAGCCACATGGCTGAGACATTTGTTAATTTTCTTCAACCCATTTCCTTTTCTTTCCCTAATATCAGAACCTCAGTTCTCACCAGGATAGAATACTTTCCAAATGTAAAAATAAATTTCCCTGCCACCTTTGCAGCTAAATGTAGTTATGTGCTTAAACTGGCCCATATGATATAAATAGAAGTATCAGGTGGCATTTCTGCAAGTACCTTTTTCTAAGAATTATCATGGGAAAGTATCTCACAAAAGAAATCCCAAAATAGGAGCCACTGAACCACACCAGAATGAGATGGTAAGTATTGGAAAAGGAACTTATTAATCATATTAAATTTCAATGAGGGGTGAAGAAACAGTAGATCAGATAAGTGTCCCATGAGTTTGTGTATTTGAACCCTAGCTTTGGGAAGTGGAGCTCAAGGCAGAATGCAGAGCGCTCTACAAACCAGGCTACTTTGGAATAGGAAGTAGACAGAAAACTGTTTAGCCAATTCTCTCAGGAGATGTGGATACAATGCAGTGATGATTGGCCCAGGAAAATAGAATTGTCATAGGAATAGAATGTGAGAATCAAGAGTTTTGTAGTGTGAAGATTGTAGATATTACAATGGATTGTGTTAGTCAGCGATAGCAAACACCCATCTGAGAGGTAAAATAGGCCAACATGGAAGTACTGAATAAAGGAAAAGAGGCTCAGATAGATTGACTTTGGATGACAGAAAAAAGATAGTCCCACATTTTTAGAAAGCAAAATACTATATTATACAATTGTGCAATCTGGTGATACAGAGAAGGAACTTAAATCCAAAAATATAATTCACATTTCTTACAGTTGGGCGGAACTCCAAGGAAGTCAGCCATTGCCTGAAAAATAATCTCCCTGCATCTGAAGATGTTTTCTTTTTAATATTTTTTATTTTTAAAAGAGTATAAAATGGTATTAAAACAAAAATTATAAATGACACAGAATTTTACTAAACAAAACAATATGAATTTCACAGTAGTTGTTGTGATGCATAGTGTTATCTCCAAATTAGTTGCTCTTATCAGATATAGGCATGCAAAACTGGAAAAAGAAAGGAAAAAAGAAAGAAATGAGTAAGAGATTAAGAAGACAAAAAGGACAAATAATTTTTAAAAAGAGACAAAGCAAATTAAGCATCAACTGCTCCTTTCCATAGACCAGCAGAAATTCACAGTGCTGTTGTCCAAGCCCTGCTCCCTACACACATAGATAGATCTCTTTCCCAACTCCCTATCCTGTCTTTCTCCTCAACTCAGTAATTCCTTCATTTTGAACAGGTTCATCCCCTATTCCCAGTTTCTATTGCACCTCTCACACTTTATTTTCTCTTTCAGGTTCTCACACTAAAGAGACAATATGACGTTTGCATATGTGGGTCTGATTTATTTCATTTAAGAGTATGGCCTCTAGTTGCACCCACTTACCAATAAAAGCTTCTAATGTATCCTTTCTTAAAGTTGACTAATGCTCCATTGTGTTAAAATACCACATTCAAGATATTTTCTTTTAATAAGGGGAGATGTCATCCCCCCAAAATCCTATTTCCAGGCACAGGAGTTTCTTTGTAAAAGGGAGACATCTTGGCCTTTCTTGCCTTTCTTTTAGATACTAAGCTGGTGCCCAGAAGCTGATGAGGACAGGGAGGGCTCATGCAGGCTTACATCTATCCCTAGAGGACATGGGGTCCCCTACAGGAGTAACAGTGGCTTTGAATATCACTCACCAGGCTCCGTGTTGCTGCTAGATGGAGCTGTTATTAATACATCTCCACACAGGACCCATACCATCTGGCGAAGATCACGAATATCATAGTATCTAGGTCTTTCAGTTTCCAGAACTGTCAGATCAGGGAAAAAAAACCCACAAAATTCAGGTGAACTTATAATTAACTTTCAAAATTTCAACTACAGAATTCTTAGAGCAGGTGTATTTTTCTAAGCATATTTGCCAAGGAGGGAAGAGAAAGAGAAACAATGCAGGCTGGTTTGTGGATGAAATCGTCAAAAGAATGTAAATACATTCATTGTCCTAAGCAAATTTCAAGACTTATTTTTTTTAAAAAATCTAGAGTTTATGTCAAAAAAATTTATCTATTTATTTATTTTAAACATAATAAAAATAATAGATAAGATATTAGAAATGATACAGAATTTCCCCACAGTCCCCAAAAGAAGACAATAGGAATTCAACAAAGGTTGTTATCCTGCACATTGTTGACCTTGATGTAGTTGCTCAGATTACCTGATATAAGGAAGTAAAATGGATCAAAATAAAAATTGTAAGCATTAACTGCTACCTTAAAAAAAAACCAAAGAAATTAGTAATACGGTCATCTTAACTATCTTTTGTGTTATGCAAACATCATTATTTCCCCTTTTTTTCTTGCATTTTTCCTCTCACATTCCAATTGTTCATTCCTTTTGAGCAGTTTCTTTCTCTTCAACTGTATCTATTGTAGCATTCAGATTTTATTTACTCTTTTAGGTTCTTACATAAGAGGTCAATGCAATGTTTACACAGGTGGGTCTGATTTATTTCACTTATAAGTATGGTCTCCACTTACATCCATTTTTTTAATAATAGCCACAGGTTTATCTCGCTTTATAGCTGAGTAATATTCCATTGTGTAAATATACCACATCTCTTTTATCCATTCCTTGATTGATGGACATTTGAGTTGTTTCCAAGATGTACCTATGATAGATTGTGTTGTTATAAACATGGACACACATATATCTCTGTGGTATGATGATTTCATTTCTTCTGGAAAAATACCCAGAAGGGGAAGAGCTATGTCCAATGAGAACTCTACTCCTAGCTTTTTGAGGAATCTCTACACTGATTTCCACAGTGGTTGCACCAGTCTACATGCCCACCAACAGTGGAGAAGAGATCCTTTCTCCCCACAGACTCTATAGTAGTTGTTATTAGTAGATATCTTTATGATAGCCATTCTTTCTTGGGTGAGAAGGAATTTCATTTATCTCTCCCAGATTGATAACACAATGATATAGTAACAAATGGACAGCTATTGTATCTGTACACAAGTATATTGGGGCTTTTTCTTTATCTTATTAATCAGAATGAACAAGAATGTTCAAAACTTTTCTAAATGCAAAAAATTACAAAATAATTAAGTACTCCAAGATGTTCTCATACCTATTCCTGGGGACTTTCACCAGAGCTAATACACTTAAAGCAGAGAAAAATGAGGCCTTGTACCATATTATCTTTGGTAAAGTGGGATAGAGTAGCTCCAGCCTCCTTTGTAGTTTACCACTTACACGCAGTGTCAGCCATTTGAGCTCCTAGCTTCCTGTAAGGAGAACAGAGGAGGTGAACGAGATGTAATAAGCAGCTGATCACAGAGAGAAGGAACATACGTTATCCATGATATGTTACCTTCAATATCCCCTGGAATTTTGTATCAAACTTTAGATAAAGCTTCTCTGAGCCCCAGTCACATACAACTATTTTTAAATTTTCCATTAGTAAAACATGGGTATACAGATAAATAAGGTTCATCTTGGCAGTTTAATGCATGCACAAAGCATACTTTGCTCATATTCACTGCTACCACCTGATTTCCCCACACTCTGCACTGGTCTTACATTAAAGTGGAAGGCTCAATGTGTACAACATAGTCAGCTCATCTCCATTCACTTACTACCTACTCTAACCATCTCTTTTCATTTCCTTCCTCTTACCTAATAATGGTCTCAAATGCAGATATTATGGTAAAGATGATAAGAGTATGTTCAAGGTCAGAAAACTCTAAATAGAACAGAATAGAATGGAAACTTCACTGCCTGGGTTGGCCAGCATGGTCCTGGTTCTCTGGGATGTGATGGCCATGAGATGCCATCCATCATTGCATTTGATATAATTAAGAGGTTGTAAAGCATCGGGCTGCCCCAGAGCAGTAAGACTCTGAGTTCAGGGAAAGGAGGGAATGTGTGTCTCTAAGAAAGGTTAAAAGACAAGTAAGCAACATCTATAGAACACCAAACAATTACTACAAAAATTAAGCTCACCAGAGCTGGGGAGATGGCTCAGTGGAATAAGTGCTTCCTTGGCAAGTGCAAAGGCCTGAGTTCAATCAGTTCCACCAAAAAAAAAAAAAAAATTAAGCTCACCTTAGCACATCCTTGTAAATTACCAGATAGCTAGGAAAATATCAGAATTTTGAAAATAAAAAATCACATGTAAATGTAAAAACGCTTAGGAAAAAAGGAGACTCTCACCAAAATCTCTAAAAGCCAAGAGAATTTTGAGTGAAGTATGGCAGACCCTAAGAGCCAATAACTTCCACCTCAGATGAACTAACACATCGAAGGTGTCCTTCATCAGACATGGGGAAATGAGGTAGTTCCATGACAAGGACCAACTCAAATGATGTATTAATACTAAAGCGATCATTCAAAAAATTCTGGTGCATAGTCTCAACAGAAATCACAAAATAAAAACAGCTAAGAACACAAAGGAAATTAGTGAAGTCAATGAATAAACAGCAACAAGAAATGCCATAAGGAAGGAAAACAAATGATTGCTCAACAAAGAAAGCAATGATAGTGAATAACTCATACATCTCCGGAATCATGGCCTCAACTCTAATTAAAATACAGAGATAGTCAGACTGGATTGAACAACAGAGTGAAACAATCTGATGGCTTTCAAGAAACTCATCTAATCCAAAAAGATATTCACAGATTCAAGATTAAAGTATGGAAAACATTTCAAGCAGCACAAACCTGAAACAAGCAGGGTAGCATTTGTAATATCAGACATGACAAACTTCATGCTAAAATTTATTAGAAAACATAATGTTCACTGTATCATAGTTAAGGGAACAATCTAAAAAGAAGAGGTAACATTAATAAACATATATGCACCAAATCCTGAAGCAACTATATGCTTAAAATGAAATCTGCTGAAATTAAAAGATCAAATAAACACTAACACAATCAGAGTAGGTGATTGTAACACCCCACTTTATCAGTGATGGATCAACTAAACAAAACCCCAAAAAAGAAATAACATAGGTGATTCACCCTTGAACACATGGACTTAAAAATATATATACAGAGAATTCTATCCCTTTAAACAGAGTACACACACTTTTCAGCAGCATATTGTACTTTATCCAAAGTAGATCACATACTACTCCACAAAACCAGCTTAAGTAAATATAAAATAATGTAAATTATCTCATGCATGTTATCAGACCAATGTGGATTGAAAATGGAAATAATGAGAAAAAGAATTTCAATAAAAGCCAAAGCTCTTGGAAAGAACTTTGCAGTTGCAAGAGAAAAATTCATTGCTTCCCCACTCTCTTTGGATGGATTGGATAGAAGATTGGAAAGAGCTTACCTGATGCTGTGGGGAAGTTCCGATAGAGCATCACATCTTCCAAAGTCTTCCACCTTCCAGCTCCAGGCTGAGCTGATACATATAAAGGAGTGACAGGGTAGTAGGTATGAACAGTCCTCTCTGTGTAGGGCTGCTCTTCCTCTTTACTACCTGCACAAAGGAAAGAGGCGGAGCCTGGCCCCTTCCACACACTCACACAAGTTGGCCAGCCCTGAGGAAATGAGTAAGCTGATGCCTGACTGGACCCATGATTATTATGAATGGGTGTAGATTTATTTTGATTATGGGTAATTGGAGTTCTGCATGCCTCACTTAACTGTATGTCAGGTACTTTTCCCATGTTTGGGAAATTTTCTTCCATTACTTCTGAAAATTGTCTTTTTATGTCATTCATGTTGCCTCCTGCTTTTCTCTTGACCTATCATTCTTATATTATTTAACTTTTTATCATGTTGCAGCTGTTAAAATCTATATTTCCTGGTTCCTTGTTATTTTGAAGAGAACTTTCATGATCACTAGCTGTAATCCTGTCTTCAAGGTCTGAAAGTTTATCATTGGTTTCAGTCAAACTTTTTTTCCAGCTTTCAATGGAATTTTTAATTTCCTGGGTATCTCTTTGAATCTGTTTCATGCATTTTAATTCTTTCCTGTATTGCTCATTCCTCTCTGTCATTTTTCTATCTCTATTTTTTAAGCTGTGTATTCTTTACATATGCTAAGCAATCATCTCATTATGGTTGCCATTTTTTTTTATCTGAGAGATTATTCCTGATCTGATTTTCCCTATTGCCTGATAGAGATTTTTTTTACTTCACATGCTATCGTTTTAGAATATTCAAGTATGTGACATCTAATTTCTTCTATTTCAATGTTGCCTGGACTTTTTTCTGACATGAGTTGAAGGTCTGAGATTGCATTTTTCCCTTCTTCTTGACATTTTCTATTACAAAATTTTTATTCTGTTTTCTGTGATGATCCTTGTTGAGTTTTGGTAGTAGGTAGCTATATCACTAATATCTAGGCCTCTCTATGAAAAGGCTGTACTCTAGGAATATCTTCTGTTTGTAGGAGATCCTTGGCTTGTGTCTGTCCCAAGATTCTACCTTCCCAATTAACTGAGAGGGGATTGTTGGTTTCTATTTGGCCCAGCCTTGTGGTGTAAGGCTGTGATGGGGTTATTTCCCAATACCTTCTTAATATTGTCAAACACGGAAAATAATTGGTTACAACAGGTATGATATCCTAGCTACAGTAGTACAAGTAGCAACAATGACAGCATCAAGCTGAATTTAGAAATTGACACACTGTGGTAAGGATTGATTGTGTTCTTCAGACTATAGAAGCAAAGTCTATAGTTATATACCAGAACCAATCATAAATTAGGAGTTTGTATGCAGTGTTTCCACTTCTTTGAGTAGGTTTACACTGGGTTCCTCTAGATGGGCCAGTTACTGTGTCCCTGTGTGCTTCCTGAACTGTCTGTCTGCCCCACAGTGTAGCAGAATGGGCCAGGCACCTGTGCTCCTAGAGACCAAGGTTACCTCAATAGCAGAGAGGAAATGGATGGGGCTTCCCCCTTCTGAGTGGCTCATAATGGTGCCGGCAAAACTCCTGCAATGATGGAGGGCTGATGGGCAAGGTTTCTCCCCTCCTGAGAAGATAACTAAGGCTCTATAACTGAGTGTTAAAAGTTAAATCAAATGATATCTCAAAATGTTTTCAAAAAACAGTTTGTGATAGGTTCAATACACAGCTATTATCTCAATTTATGGCATAATTTAATATATATATGTAAATCTAAGCTTTATAGGTATGTTATTAATACTACATAAGTGTAGTACTTACGATGTGACTTGTATATGTTATAAAATATGCATCTTGTTCTTAAACCTGAAATGACCAAAGGTTGACATCTCTTTCAGCTTGGTCCTGCCATTTAAAACTTGATGTTTTAGTTTAAAATTTTGCTACTTTTTGATTAACATACTTGCATATTAAGTAATAAGTCTATTTTTGGTCAATGGCACAGTTTCCAAAATATACAAAAACCTCAAGATGATCATTTCTTCTGCTCAGTGTGGTTACACCCTATAAACCTGTTAGAAATCTAAATTCTTCCATAAGTACAAAATGCAAGCAAATAGAGACAAAAAGTTCTGTACACATCTGTGAAGCTAATTATAGCTACTTCACAGTATACTAAATGTGTTTTTGTTTCCCAAGCACACAGGGCTTCAGACACGCAAAGGTAAAAAGCAGAAAGCCTCTTATTATGCTAATGACTTCCTGACTAAAGTTGCTTGTAGTGATAAAATTTTTTACAATTGTTATATGATTGTGTTAGGTCAGAATGTATCTCATGACTGTTATGTTACATCTCCAGGCTTCAAAAAATTCTCTATGAATTCACTCTATTGCGTAGGTCTCAGGTTCCTAGATCTAAAAATCTTTAGATAATATTTTGTGTATGAGTCCAGCAGTTGCTAAACATTTCTTTTCCTGATTCTTAATCTGTTCATAAGGATTAAAATAACTATATGTCAGGAACAAGAGCTACTCAACCATCTCTATACAAAGGACAAACGTGCCTTGGTTACTCAAGACAAGAGGTGAACCAGAGTGCAGCCTTGGGTGGGACTGCACATGCAGCCATGACCACAAGATGGGGCAGCCATAGTACACAGCCTAACTGCAGAGTCTCGTGTGATTCTCTTTTCTTTCTCCAGTTAATCTATCCCAAAAAGGACACAAAAGAGATCTAAAAGACATGCAGTACATCTTAAATGCTTATACAGAGCTCAATGCTTGTCTCCAAAATGTCACTTTTAGATTTTACTTGATAGATTTGAGCCTAGTTCAAGATATTTTAAAAGACTGGTTCGTATTCTAGGCAATCTCCTGGATGGCACCATAGATTGCCACACCCTACTCCCGCAGTGCCCAGTGACTTCCAGAAGGCTTTTTCACAGTGTCCCTTTCCTTAGGAAAAAGCCTCTCACCTTTCATTTGACCTGAACTAAAAAGATACCAACAGACAAAGGCACTTGCCTAACACATCAGAGAGTCATCTTTCCCTGGCTTAACACAAATTACAGAGTACATGGAGCCACGGATATTTACACAGAATGCTCTATGTTTATCTCCTGAGCCACTTCACCAGCTAAGTCTGCCTCTTCAGAAGAACTTGTTTTCCTTAGGAAAAAGCTAGCCAATTAACATCTCAATCAAGGCAGGACATTTCCCAGAGGGTTTTCTCTGAACATACGAAAGTCTTCAAACTTTATCCTGGCTAGGGGGTCTATCAGGATAAAGGGACTTCAGAAGCCACCCCAGAAGGGAAGACCTCCTCCCATTCCTTTTCAGGTAAGACCTTACAGCCCCACTGACTGCAGCCATGAGACTGAAGAGAAATAGTTTCCTCCCACTGCTGTTTTGAGGCAGGAGGAGGAGCAAGGAGTACTCTATTGTAGTCTTGAACAAAGGAAAAAGGCTTCCACAAAGCAAATTGTTCCCATCTCACTCCCTTGTGAGAAGGGGCCAGGGAACATTTTGGCTGCTGCTTATAGGACAAAGAGAAATTAGTCTTCCTCCATCACTGCTGCAAGTGAGGTAAGGAGGTTGTCAAGCAAGATGACAGGGACTGCCTCAAGCTTCTCACATTATTTATGTGGTTTTTTTTGTGGGAAATTTGGTTAGCTTCCCTGCCATGGCTGCACCTCTGTACTATATTCTCAAGAATTGAGAGAAATTTGGTTCTCAATCCTTAAGAAACATGTTCATGCCTATGTACAGGCTTTCTTTACTTTGAGAGATTGTCCTAACTTTCTTTCCCCTGGGAGACAGTAATGTTATGTAGACTCAGTCCTGTTACCAAAGACAAAGCCTCAAACTTTGTTTTGCAACAAGGAGAGACAACAAACAAACATTCCACTTAACAATCTACACTCTTTTCTATTGTAAGGTATTCTATAATAAAACAAAAATCTAAATATACTTTAAAAAAAGTAAACAACATGGCTGTCATATAATAATTTCAACATAATTGTGCTAAAATGCTATGTTATGCTTTAGATTTCAAACTATTCTCATAAAAATTTATAACTATTATCTCAAATGACTCTATAAAAATTGACTTCTAAAACAATCATTGTTGCTCTCACTTCAATACTCATGTCACTGATCTTCTAGGTATTCCACAACTAGGACTCTAAGAGCAAAGCTAAATATGTAACTGGGCTAAGAGGACAGCCAGTATTTTGGACCTGTCTCTCCATAATAAAATAAGGACTCAGGACATGAAGAAACGTCTCTACACAATCCTATCATTCTGGTGTGTCACCCAACTGCCTGTGAAAGGAGATTGTTAGACCTCAGAGGATAGAAGGCCACTGGCAAAAATTGTATTAAAAGTAGAGTAACCATGAAAAAAAAAGATCTCCCATCCTTCTATGGGAAACCCTATGGTCAAGTGAGACTGTGACTCATCCTGGCAGATGACATTGGATGACAACATATTAAAAGACTCTGTACACAGCTCCAAAAATAAGCTCTGGGCAGCCTTTACTGATGCTAATAGACAACAAAGGGCAAAATCTAATTCATACAGGTCTCACTTAAACATGGCATTAAACATCCAGCAAGACAAGTTCAAGGCCAGTCTGGGCTACATAGTAAGTTCAAGACCAGCCTGTACTACACAGTGAGACCCCTGAATCTCTCTCTCACACACACACCAAAAAAAAAAATCCAGCAAGGAAGTATAATCAACAAGATATATAGAAATATTAATAGTAATTTCAGCTAAATATGCAAAATAGTTTGCAAGCCTATATACGGGCCCTGCTGATAGTCTCCACCTAAATCTATAGTTTGTCCTATTGTAGTTCAATAAGGCAACAAAGCCACAATAATACCTCTAAAATCCAACAAAATTCTTTTACTTACTTAAGTAAGATTGCTCTTTGACAACACAGAGCCTCTATACTTTTATGCT